TGAGCATCTGCGGAGCAATAGACAACAGTGATTGCAGAGACAAAAGTCTAAAATGAATCAAGGCATAAACAGACACCCTTAGGATCCAAGCCGAGACAATGTAGATGTTTTTAAGTTCACCGAACGGACCCAGCCTCACCCTCCGATTGTAAAGAAATACTTTAAACAGAACGAATAGTGTGATTGCGTAAAACAATGGCATAGTTGAACAAAACGCACAACACAAAAGTGGTGTTGAACGTCTGCCACAAAGATGGAAAATCGGGCTTTAATAAGTCGTATGAGTTTTTTAGATTTAATCTTATTAAATCAGACTTATAGGAACGATCGAAATTTATCGGAGTGTTCCATAATGGTACGTCAGTATGTACAAATTATTCTATCTTTGAACAAATGAGTGTATCAAACGCTTTTAAGTCAGAATCATTAAATACAATATTTAAGCACGATGTTTTTTTCTATTAAGGTGTAGATAAAATTAAACTGTTTTACTGTTACATCGTTTTAAGTAACCCATCCACACGATAGCGAAGTTGTTTGCGTTAGTTGGTATGTATATGAGGAGTGGCGCCGTGTTCACTTGTCTCGGTAGCTATGGATGAGCGCAGGTTCTTAGAGATGCGGAAACAAATTGACGAAAATAATGAAGATGTCCGGGATTTCTTGGATAACATGGATCAATGGCGCCTGGATATGGAGAGAAAAAATGCACAGTTACGTTCTGAAACCAAAAAACAGGATGATTTGCCTCATATTCGCAATGTTTTACATAAGAAAAAGAAAAAGCGCTCGAATCCTACCACAGTAACGGAACCCATTCCTGCTGCGAAATATCTATAGGTTTCTACTGAGTTGAAAGCCACTAATTCGTGTCGTATTAAATCGGATGACTACAAGTCGTGGGATTCGTTTGATGTTGATAAAGCACTGGACGCTATTGACGAACGTGAGGAAAAAGGCGCTTCCGGAGAAAGCGAAACAGATGAGGAATGGGAGGATGAAAGGCGAATCAAGTTGGCAGACATGGAAAAGGAGCAGGGAAACGTTCGTTTTAGGGTGCGATTTGGATTCTCTTTTTTACATAACAAGTCGTTGTGCTAAGTCCCTTGCGAAGTCAATTGTTTTGGCTTGTGTCAGATTTATTTGCATAATGTGCCTCCTATTAACAGATTTCTAACATTAATTTATGATCTTCGAAGTTTACTCGTATTTTTCATTCGTTCGTATTTTATATAAAGCCGTCACTTGTCGCTCAGAGGTTTTCTTCGCGTCCCTAACGTTGGACGACAGATCTGCCGTTGATAAGAGTACTCATATTTTGGTTCTTAATCGAATCGCCTTTGCGTTTTCTTTGTCTTAGTTCTTGCAACTTAACTGCTGTTTTAATTCGTTTGCTTTTTGTCAATCTCTCATTTCATAGCCATCATGTCATTTGATCTTTAGACGTTGGATTTTGTTTTTTTACGTTGGCGCATAGAAGGACAAATTCAAACGCTGATTTGCTAGTCTCGGTCTTCAATGTGTTTGTATCTGCGTCCTTAGCACTCCTTACTATTAGTATTTAAGTAGACGATCTATGTCCTTTGTCATTTGGTAACTGCAGTTCTAGCCTGTTTTCATTCTAGCAAATCATGCTTCCTATTCATTGCAGCTTTTTTAGATCCGCTATGTAAACCTTGAACCCTTGGTAAAATCGTAACGCACTTGTTGATGATTGGTGCAACGGCGTTTTTGCTTTCTGATAGAATTGCCCAACAGAACTTGTGGGATTTATGGTTGGTCTCAGTGGTCATTTGAGGATTTTTTGTTTCCATAGTCTTTCGGATTCCTCTAACCTTAATTTGCTATTACTTTAGTATGCTCCCGATTGTTACTTCTAGACCAGTCAGCCATCATACTCAATGCTCGACTTTGCACTAATACTACTTTCCTTAACATTGCACAGGAGAGTAAATATGAAGAGGCGATCGAACACTACACTTCCGCCATCCGGTTATCACCGGAGAATCCACTTTTCTACTCAAACCGAGCTCTGGCGCTTTGCAAACTAGAGCGTTTCGCTTCCGCTGAGGCCGATTGTTCCACCGCCCTCAAGATTGATCCAAACCTAGTCAAGGCTCTCTATCGGTAACTTCTTTGCCCACTTTTTATGCTTCTCTGCCTTCTTTCAGTAAAAATAAGCTACTTCCATTAGTGGACTATATTTTGCAGTAGATTTTTTC